GGAGGGGCGGCTTGTTTCTCAACGTCGTTGCCAAGCGACGAAAACCCAACCCCGATGGCAAACACCGAGGGGGAGGAGGGTGGGGGGGGGAGGTTTATTGACACGTTTTGTGTGGCATTTCGAGTTGAAGCTAGAGGTTCCGCTGGTTTATCTTTTCGTTGTAGACGATATGGTCATGTGTCAACACGTAGTCTATGCATACTCTGCATGTGAATATACTACTGGTTCTGATATTGGTCGTGGGACCGAGCTAAGTTCCTCTTTTGTGCACGTTTGGTTTTCACTCGATAGTGGCATGGAGCTTAGCAGCAAGTACGGATGTCCCAGAAGCAACAACAACAACAGTAGTAGTAGCCTGTCTTGGGCGATGAATAGCCAGGTCTCAAAAGGTTGCCTTTTGCCGTTTGAGACGACCGATTCTAGCATTGTTTAATATTTTCTAAAGACAAAACACACGTTCTTGCCCCTTCCACTGTTTTGGGGGGGCGGGGCGGGGGGGATGCATTTTTCAACTTGCCCGATGAACCCTACGCAGGACTACATTATGCCGCTGAACTGTCAGGGACCAGTCCGCCATGAGGTTTCTATCGCTCGCAAAATAGCCGCGGAAGGTTTGCCAAGGGACCCCGAACGCTACGACAAGGTATTGCCAAACCCAAAAAAGGAGGGAAAAATGCTGGTGTGATGTCATCAATCGGTCACGACGGGGGGGGAGGATCGTATCATGTAGGGAGATATCGATATCGAAGTTTGTGGGATTTCGTGGTTTGGTTGTTAACCTACGCGTACTATTTGCTCAGCATGAAAGCTTGATGATTACATCGAGGACGGTGGTGAATCACGCGACTTAGTGCGGTGACGGCAAGCACGATCGTGTCGTTGGGCCTGGTGCAGGGGCGACGTCGGGAATCCTTACTCTGGCTGTAGTACTTGTTAGTAGCGACTGTTCATGCGTTGCTTTTTGCGCGGCACGATGGAAAGGACAGGAAAGTTTTTTTCATGTCGCAACCACTTGACTCTGTGCCCTACAGTACCTGCGGTCGTCGATAGCTGCACATGATATGGGATAGAGGTCTGTGTACACTAACTCAACTGGCCCTAAGTATTTCCGTGTGACAACAAGCGAGACTTGTAGAACACGATTATAGGACGTACAAGCGGCCCGTCGTTTCCGTCTGCGTTTGGTTTTGCCGGAACCAAGCGACGGTGTCGACATGAGAACAGGGACACGTCTGACGTTGCACGTTGCATCGACAGCAGGTGGGTTCTGGCCGAACACCGTTCAAGATTTAGAGCCGATCGTGCACGTTTCAGCCTGTCCTCGGAACGGTCATGCGCCTCCATCCCGTTTGTTTTCCCTGTGATCGTCTAGCCATATGTGATACGTACACTTCTACTCCATGCGCTCGTCAGCCCGATCGTTGGTCTTCCTCCGGCTTGCCCGCTGTCCACCCTGGTTCCTATTATGTTTCACACTTATCGTCTGTGGGTGCGTTAGGTGTTCGTGATGGCCCAAGAGTGGAGCCCGAACTACTATCACTTTACGGCGGAGCATCTGCCGCGGATCACCTTGATGTTGGATGTCCTTCTCGATAACCCAGACATCATTGTGAGTACTGCGGCATGCGTTCCCCTTTCTGTTTGACCATCAATCTGCACATTAGTTATTTTGTCATCCTATGCTTCTTCCAGGTCGCTGGCAACACGGCGAACAGGTACCCGCAACATCATTAAAACGCATGTCTCGGCTGGTCGTAAGCCAGGAACACTGGGTCGGAGCGCCACTCATCTGTTTTCCAGCAACTTTGATCTATGCACAACAGCTATTGATAGCTTCACTGACAGAGTGAAAGAAAAACAAACGTCGACAGGGATTCTGCGCATGCTTTCAACACGTTGCAACACGACGCACAAGACATACACTGTCCGCGAGAAGCCCAACGCGTTGAGTCGGGCACGTCTGACCATCCCTGACAAGTAGCTCGACGACAAATCTGAGATGTGGGACCCCGTTCAAGCTCTAATTGCTGTTGGTGCCGGGTCTGTTTCCATCTCGCGCTGTTCGAATTTCTACACGCATTCCCTTGTCTTTGACGATCTCGCCCTCGGCTGGTCATGACCTGTGTATTGTACATGTATCTAATTTTTCTCTTTCGGTCAAGCCCACTGTTTTGCGAGACACGGACTAACGCTACGATTCGGTCCGTGGCATCCATTGTTGCAAAGGATAGTGATTTTTTTCTCATGGTGCTGTTGATGTACTCCCGCAAAACCTTGGCTCCGTTTCGATCTCTACACAAATACGGTTGTACGTATCACCAATGAGAAAACAACTTGATGCAATGCCTAAGCCAACTGACTTGCCTTGTGTGTCTTTTGAACAACTGGGTTCAGATCTCCATGCATTTCTACGAGAAGGACATCATTCATGAAAATATTTCGGCAGTGCACGAAGTTCAAATGGAGATGCTTGAGATTCTTGGAATAAGCAGAGAGCGCGTCGTCTTGGTCGATCAGCAGGTGAGAAAAACAAGCACATGTCGCCGGCGGTGGGCCTTGTTATGATCGTTCTTCGTGAACAGGCCTCCCAAGCCAACAAGAATGGTATTGGTACTCAGCACGAGGTAGAACCTGAAGTCTTGCCACGATACCAGACAGTATCAAGCATCGCTAGCAAGGCCATACAACGAAAACAGTAACTCAGCTATTTGCCATGAGTACAACTGCAACGCATAGTGGCTGTCGTGCCCAAAGGTTCGGGTAGAAACTCCAAGTCTTGATACGGACTCCGATACATGATCGCTCTATCGAAGCCACGTATTATCTCGACACTTCCACATTGGCCGCCAGGCCATGGTGATCGTGTCTTGAACGAGAGTCCGTATACTCTTCGACAAATTTGTAGCGATAGGGCAGAGCTAACGGTGAATTATCTTGTTTCGTCCTGCTGCTTGTTGAGGTTCCATTTTGTGGATGAATTATATGCAGCGAACCTAAACATCTAAAATATTTCCACCGCGGGGTCTAGGGAGGTACCACAAAATGCGTTGTTCGTTTCAGCTCGTGTACAGGTGCCTTGAATGCTGTATCCGTAGACTCTACCCTTGCGCACAAATTCCCCGACGCCCGCCTGCCCGTCGGCGTGGGGAGACTCAAAGCGGATTTGTGTGTTGTTGCCCCAGGCAAGACTGGGGACTTCGTATGTTCAGCCGGTTGGCCCAGTTGGTTGGGTCCGATGCAGACATTTCAACACACCTCGCGCGTGCTCAAGCACGGACACTTTACCACGTGTCCGCCGGGAAGCTCGATTGATTGACGTTTACCCATGCACAGTCAGCGTCCCGGCGCGTACAAGTCGATATCCGCTCTTCGCAATGCTAAATCTGCAACACATGTCGATTTCCCGACTCTTCCCAGATGCACGCAAATCTAGCGATTATACCGACTTCTACCGTTTGTGGCGACCCGGACCCTCATATGGTCAACATGCTTAGGAATAGATTCCTGCAGGTGGGCGGCGAGTGGAAAATCGTTTGTTGGGGGCAGCTAGCGGCAGGGGAACGCTGATGTTTTTTGTCGTGTTTCTGGCAGGAATTGCCGAACGTTTCGTTTATCATGTAGGATCTACAGTAGTTGTTTTTCTGTTTTTTTCACAAAGTACTGATGATGTGCGTTAGAGTAGTCCAGGTCGGGACGGGTTGACTTCATCTCGTCACAATGAAGCAAAAATGACCAACGACTGCCCTGCCCGCTGTCTTTGCAGGGTCTTTTTCCGACCACGAACGGCGTTCCTCCAGCGCCACCCCGCCCGACGATCGTACTCGTTGTGCGAACCACATTGCGGGGCCTACAGAACAACGAGGAGGTATGTGTTTGTACGTGCAACGTACACGTGTACATTTTCGTTGTCCACACGAAGGCTTGACTGCCGTTGCATTGCTATCGGGTACCTGATGGAGGGCGGCCATCTCACAACCTCCGCTGAGGCTGACATCCTGCGCAAATGGCGCTTGGGATGGTGTGCGCGGAGTACACCCCGTAGAAATATCGGTCGTGGTAGACAGCGAATACCATTGGGTAAAAAACAGAGATACTTGTATGCACCTGGTTAGCCAGCTCACCTAGGTCCGCGGGCGAAGTCGCCTGGAACCACCAGTGGTCTCCAAGAGCAACTGCGCCGTACGGACGAGGTTCTCCGATGAATGACGCCCTTTTTTTGTCTTTGCTTGCATGTTCTTTTCTTCGTGCATCCTCCAGCAGTGCTGGAAGGTGAGCAGGGAGTAGAGTAGCACGAACTTACGAAATTCAAATCAGACAGGGTGGATTAGGGTGTTGCCCGACGTCACGACCACCCAAAGTGGCGCATGCCGATCATTTTGTTATGTATCGCAATCAATGATGTCCTACCCGATACAACACGAACAACTGGACAATGACGATAGGTGAAAGAGGCTCTGAAGATCAGTTTTCCGAGCTTCGACGTGGTGGAGTTCTTCGGTACAGATCCCGTCGGACACCAGTTCAAGACATTCGCAACCGCGGCCATGATCGTAGCTCCCCACGGGGCCGGGCTTGCCAACATAATCGTCGCGCCCCTGCACACTCCGGTGCTGGAAATAGCCCCCATATCGTGCCCGCCCTGCTTCTTGAGGCTCGCCTTGAAGGTAGGGATTGGTTTGAGGGATATGGTGTGCGTTATACATGGAAGTACGAGGCTGGGTGGGTGTGTGATACTTCTCACTCCGCGGACATTGAGCGTGCCGCACAAGAAGGTATTAGTGTCAAAACGGTGGTTTTGCTTCGTGTGCGTGTGCTGGTGTTGAAAGCGACGGATGGCAGGGTATCAGGGCGTTTACGAGGTTTACTGAACGTATCGCAAGGCGCCTACCATACCCGAAGCGGTTGGTGAATCGCTTCCAAGTATTTGGTTGCTTTGTAGGTCTTCATTACAGTTAAGAATGAAGCTGACATTTTTATTCCCGGTGAAATGCCTAATAAACATTCCCCATTGAATCCCTATTCGTTGCTTACAATGACGTCGAGTGTCGAACAGCTGCCGGTCCCGGCCGTCTTTTCTATGTCACACTGACTATACAAAGCTTTCTGCAAACAACCTTGACCGAACTTGAAAAGCTTCATCATATCTACGCGAGGCATCCCGGGGACCACTGGTCACAAGAATGCATGTCATGGTACGAGCCACCCGTCGATGAAATCATCGAACTCGCAAGGTGAGCGATGCCTTACCTGATGTTGCGTTTTTTTCTGGTGGTGTTGGTGTCGGTGCTGTTTAGCGGCAGCGTATGTGTTACACACGAATGCGGGCCTTCTCAGCGGGTCACAATACCCTCGCTGACAGAGTGGCCGAGTCGTCCTCTTTGTTCACAAGCGTTTTTCGCGAATGCTGTCGCAAGTGAACAAGTACAGTCGACATTAAGTGACAATAGGTGTTTATCGTATCTTTCGAGCGTCTAGGGATGGCTATGTTGGGGTGTGCAGCCGCGCCAAATGCGTCGGAATCATTTGTAGAAAAAAGCTACTCCACGTCGTTATCTTCAAGTTGTGTCGAAAACGTGGGAGCCAGCCAGCATGTGAGAGTTGATACGGGCTGAATATCGATGAGCGGTCTACTTTGGACAAGGTCGGACAATCAACGGTTCATTGTCACGTGCTTGGGTATCGTTCACATCTTGTTTCGGTGGAACCTGTCGCTGAGTGTATTCTATTCTATACCCGCACTTACTTGCCATTTATCCCCCACCCCCTCCCGCCTAACGTTATTTTTCCAATGGATTTTTCGAAACCGTTGCCGCCATGGTGCATCTTATTTTTTGCAGGGATCTCCTCGAGGCGAAGCGCCTGGCAGACGATGCCCTGATACCCCTGAACTAGCAGAAGCCCATCAAGGGTACCCGTAACTCTACGAGCCACACGGCCCGGCGTTGTCTTTGTAGGAACCCTTCGCAAAAGAAGCCCAGGGTAGTCATAAGGGAAGATTTCTGGAAGACTTCTTGTCGTAGACTGTAACTTCCAACAAGCCGGACGGAACGCCTCAAATGCTTGCCGTGGTGCTGGGGGCTCACTTCAACCGATCGGGCGGTTCTTGTTTGCTAGAGTACGAGATCTATCCGTATTCCCTTGGAGACACTTCGCGCTTGTGCATAGCGATACGCGACTCCCTGCAAGGCAGGATCAACATAGTGTGGTTTTCCATGTTTGCCTGTGTACAGTAGTTCACCCGTATCGTTCATCGACTCGTGTTGTATGTTTGGACATAGTGTGTTGTCGTACAGGTGCTTTGAGTTCCTGGAGTATAATTGCCCGCGCAATTCAGCTCACCAATGAAAACGGCTCAAGATCCAACATGTTGTATCCTGACACCGCACGTACATGTGGTGTACATTTTTATTGGCATTTCCAATGCCAATCTGCGGTTATCCTCGATGAACAACGCGAACACACCTTTTTAGTCCTCAGCCCATGTGTGCATGTGGAGTTGGCATGAACTTGGCTTGGGGGCTCAACAATGAAGAAAGGTCATCCTCAGAGAAAGCAGGACAGAAAACGAGAACACGCTTCCAATCATCCGGGTCCCCCGCCAGCGATATATGTGTATGGGGTTGCTTGAGGTATGTTTTCAGAGGGCCTTTAGCCTGCTGATGACCAAGATTTGGATACATCGAACTACTGTAGGGTTTCCAATGGCAGCAGTTTCTATGGATGTAGGACACGAGCCCCCTTCGGCCGTTTCACCTTTCATACCCCTTGTTTACTTGCACGCTTCTCGCTGAGCATGTGACATGGGCTAGAACGTTCAGATGGTAAGGTGTTACGCTGCTACAGTAGTGCTCTTTACTCATACCCTTGGGAATGGCAGACCCAAGACCGCAACAATCACCCGATGTCTGCCGAGAACGATTTCCACTTTTCACAAAGACAATTTATCATGGACCTCTGCCGCCGGAGTGTGGCCATAACCCATTACATTGCCAGGAAAAATCGTGCGTCAAGACCACCAGTAGTCGGACACGGTTTGATCCTTGAATACGATTGCAGCAACTAGACTGCGTAGCAGTAGGAAATTATCTCTCCGTGGCATGTATTCTCTTGTTCTAGAAATATTCCGGAAGCATGCTAGGTCAAGGTCGACCGGGACATCTTCGTAGAACGTGTGTAGCTCCCGGAAACATTCTGGAACCTTCCGGGACCTTCTGTAATATTTTGAAAGCGTTCTAGACCTAGATTACACTTGATACTCTTCTAAAACGTAGGAGGGCTTCCAGAATCACTCTGGAAGCATTTTAGATTTTTCGTGTGTTTAGCTTATTTTGTCCGCTCTTTGAGGAGAGTGGTGCAGCCCTAAGCTCGCCACCCCGCTCACTCCTGTTGAGTACCAGCAACATCGATCTGACTCGGGAGTCAGCAATCAATAAAAACATCTTCAATTTTCCATTCCAGGTCTCTCGCGGTTGGAGCCGCACAGAGTGTAAACCTCTGAGGTACGCTACACAGCCTCCTGGCATCTGCAGCATCCTACTGCTGCTAGTGCACAGCGAAACTACGCTGACAGGTAATGAGCCTCGGCTAACGCACACACTATAAGCTGCGGGCATCACGGGAAGATCAAGGCAACCTCCTCTTGGGACATCAGTCTTCATCCGTGGACAACGAGAGAACGAGGTTCCGGAGATTTCTGGAGATTGCGACGCCGTCATCGGTCAACGGCACCACAAGCAAACGCGCAAACTTGGTCATCTCCACCAAGGTGCTGAGAGTTCACGTCGTTTACACACGTTACCACCGCTGCGGCAGCAGTGGGTACCTCTGTGGTGAACTAGAAGCAAGGGTCACGTGCGCCGGAGTCTCGAGCGGCATACGCATCGTTTGTATATGGAACGACACTGTATCATCAGTGGAGGAGATCAGCAACCGGAGTCCTCTAGATCAGTAGGNGCCGTCATCGGTCAACGGCACCACAAGCAAACGCGCAAACTTGGTCATCTCCACCAAGGTGCTGAGAGTTCACGTCGTTTACACACGTTACCACCGCTGCGGCAGCAGTGGGTACCTCTGTGGTGAACTAGAAGCAAGGGTCACGTGCGCCGGAGTCTCGAGCGGCATACGCATCGTTTGTATATGGAACGACACTGTATCATCAGTGGAGGAGATCAGCAACCGGAGTCCTCTAGATCAGTAGGAGGAACGGGGTGGGGAAGTCTCGGGTACAGGCAGTAGTACCACAAGCAAACTACTTCTGCAACAGGTATTACTTTTATCAAGACGAAGAAAATAAAGCTACAACGAGCAATGGATACCGCACGAGCAACACAGGAGGTGGAAGCGCGTTCGCCAGCGATAGTTCTACAAGCCTGGCAACCATGATCACAGGCCTCAAGAAATTCGACGGAAAGGACCCAACTGAGTTCAAGACATGGATGAAAAATTCTGCGTGGTGTTAGGCGTGACCAGGAAGGACATCCTTCCACTGCTGAAGAAACAAAGGAAGCCAGATTCCGCAGACACAGCGGCCTTCGACTCCTACACAAGGGAAAACGAAGATCTCTACGTCATTCTTTTCCTACTAGTGGAACTTCCAGCCGCCTTGTTGGTACAGAAGCACGAAGACGACATTGGCATCAGCGGCGACGGACAAGCCGCCTTCGAACCCTGGTGAAAATCGCGACGACTACTTCAACCAGAAGCACCTACTTCGCGCCCAGCTGGATAAGATGGGAGAACCCATCTCCGACCGCCGCTTCAAGGACATCTGCGTACAGGGCTTCTCCGACGAATATAAGGACGTCAAAGTGATGGTGTTCAGGGACCCAACCTTCAACANGACATCTGCGTACAGGGCTTCTCCGACGAATACAAGGTCGTCAAACTGATGGTCTTCAAAGACCCAACCTTCAACATCGTGGACATGCAATCCACCATGCGCAACATCTTCTTGGACGAACAATCGCGCAAGAGATGGAAGGGACGCATAGCTGGTCGAGGATTTGCCATGGCAACGACCGCGTCTGACATCATCTGCCACAGCTGCTACGAGCCGGGGCACATCAGGAGGAACTGCCCCAAGATCAAGAACAGGGCGAAGAAGAAAACGAAGCCCGCCGGAGGCACCAAGTGGTGCTCCAAGCACAACACTACGTCTCACTCGGACGAGGAATGCTACCAACAAGGAGGAAAGCGCCCGGAAGACACCAAAGACTCAAATAAAGCATTCACAGCGTGCTCTGACTGCACTCACTGCTCGTCGGTGTCCAACAAGAACGACTCAAACAATGTAGTGGCAGTTGTCGACTTCACCTGGGACGAGGACGCCTTCGACAGCGGATTCATGTTCGCCACGTGTTCCCGCATCTCAGGACGCAACTTCGCCGCGAGCTCCACCGAGGTAGGACTGCTGGTAGACACGGGAGCATCGGAGACCATGTTTGACAATCGCCTCATCCCCGACGGAAACCTTCATGATTACACCCAGCGAAACTCTCCAAAGATCGTCGACGTGGCCGGAGAAAGCCAACTCACAGGCACGGCCACGGGCATCCTACACTGCACTGTCAAGGAGAATTGAGGACACCAATTGCGCGTGCGGATTCAGGGACTCGTCGTTCCGGGGCTTGGTCGCAACATTTTTTTGCCCACCTCCCTCCCGAAAAGGGGATTGCGCTGCGTCGTCGAAGAGAGCACTCCGCACCTCGTTATTCAAGGCAAGGTGATTCCACTCACACAAGATCCGCGAGACCAAGGCATGTGCACCCTCGACATCACGTTCGAGCAGAACGTCCAGCCATCTGGCACGAAATCCCTCGTGCCCCACCAGAAGCAGTCACAGACCCACACGGCGAACGCCGTCTGCTTTACGCTTGTGAGCGCGGACACCTGGCACAGAAGGCTTGGACATATCAATGCTCGGAGCCTGGACATCCTTCGGAAGGACACGGGTACCGGGGTGGACTATCGCGACAGTCTCTCCCCTTGCGGGGTCTGCCAGATCGCGAAACACAAGCAGTCCCCCCACCTGAAGCAATCGACTCGCGAACTATCACGGCCTGGACAAGTTGTGGTCATCGACAACATGGGGCCTGTTAAGCCACCTGCGAAATACAAAGGAGGCTACTTCCCGTACGCGTGCAACATCACCGACCACACACGAAAATGCAAGAAGTGTACCTGCTTCGCAAGAAATCTGACACGACCGAGGCGGTGCACACGTACAACATGTGCGTCGCAGCGGCAGGAGGCTACCAGATCGAGACCATCCGCTGCGACAAGGGAGGCGAGAACACCGGATCCGAGTTTCGAAACTACTGCAAGAATTCAGCTATCACGCTCGAATACGCCGCCACCAACACCCCTCAACAAATTGGTGTATTGGAACGGGACAGACAAACCCTGGCCGGAGTCACCCGGTGTCTTCTGAAAGATGGAGATTTTCCGCCGTCCATGTGGGGGGAGTTAATGCTGATTGCAGCATACCTGTTGAACAGGTCCCCACACTTAGCAGTGGGGGGAGCTACGCCATACTCGAAGTTGCGCAACAGGTCACCTTATCTCTCGGGATTTCGGGTCATTGGAGCGCGCGCCTTCGTACACCACGAGCGATACCGAAAGAAGCTGGACGACAGAGCTTTCGAAGGTAAGCTATGTGGTTTCGGCCTCGACAGCCAAACCTACCGGGTATTCAATCCATTCAACGGGGCCGTGGTCGAGAGCCGGAATGTGACTTTCATCGAATCTCCACCCCGGTCAGTGCCATTCGAGCATTCCACTGAAGCAAACGGGTGCAAGAGCGACGTGCTGAGCTTCACCTCCCTGCTGGACAGCCCCCACTCGACGAGCGACCTGGACTTCGCGGCTCAGAACGAACTCCTTCGGCAAGAAGTCCGGAAGATGTAGCAAGACAATCTCGCTCGGGAGGAGCTTCGCCTAGAAATGGACGGGAACGAGGACGAACATGGGAACGGGCAAGATTTCGGCGACGGGGACGCCCCATCACCGCATCTCTCATCGACGCCAGCTGGACCGTCACCCGAAATCCACGCATCTAGCCCCAGCGCATCATCGTCGAACCCGTCTGAACCGGACACTTCTGCATCAACTGGATCCTTCGGCTCGCGGCGCCTGCAAGTCACCAGAGCTAGCACGCGCAGGAAGCCCACCAGCGACGATCAGATCGACATTAGCTTGGTTCCTGCCAATATACAAGTCACCATGAACGACCGCGGTCGAGCCCATGCTGCAACGGGCCGCGTGGAGCCATCCGGTCTTTCCTTCACTCAGCCGGCTGCGATAGCCGATCAAGCCCAGTTCCCATGCCCTGGCGATACTGAGTATTTCGCTCACGTGGCCGAAGACCCCTTCACTGTGCCGCGTGCTCACGCCTACGTCACGACCACTCACGACCACCACGGGATCTTGGCGGAGACGAATCAAGCGATCGAAATCCCCAACACCTACGACGAAGCCATGAACTCTCCCCAGCGCGAACAATGGAAAGGAGCGTGCAGCAAGGAAATGGACCATTTGCGGAACACAACGTCTACGATCTGGTGCCCCTCAGCAGCGCTCCCAAGGGAGAGAAGACCCTCGCTACGGAATTCGTCTTCAAGAAAAGCTGGACGGACGCTTCAAAGCTCGCCTGGTAGTCGGAGGACATCGTCGAGCACCAGGACAGGATTACGGACGCAGCTACGCCCTCGTTTGCCGTATCGGGAGCATTCGCATGACGTGCGCCATTGGCTGCCACAACAACTGGCCCATCTACCAACTGGACGTTGTCGGTGCCTTCCTAAACGCCCTCTGCGACAGAGACGTGTACGTCAGACCCGCTCCCGGTACATCCGCCAAGAACACCACGACAGGAGAACTCATGGTGTACAAACTAGAACGGAGCCTCTACGGCCTATCGCAGTCGCCGGCGGTCTGGAACGACACCCTCGACGGGTCTCTCACGGTGTTCGGATGGAAAAGGACTCAATCCGAACCCTGCGTGTACGTGTATACCAGCGGCAACATCATCGTGATTCTCACGGTCTACGTAGACGACATTCTCCTCACGGGAGGAGACCAGCAGCTCGTGGACCTGGAGAAGAAGGTGTTCGTGTGTCTGGATACGAGCATGGTAGATCTGCTAGCAGCACGGGGGGGTACGTAGACAGGAGCATGCGAATGCCTGAAAAAGGCTACTATGTGTGGGCCCCCTTCCCCGAATTCGGGAGGGCCACTTCTTCCCTTCCTTTCCTCGCTCCCGCGGGTGCCCAATCAGAGAGAGTTAATGAGTATCTTCTCTCAAGTACGGACATACCAACACACTAGTGTTTATTCCCTCGAGGGAGTCCATTAGGGATGGCGGGCCGCAAAACCGGAGGGACCACTCCGGACGGCTCGCAGGCAGGAGACACAAATAGCAGCGAGCAGATGGACAGCATGCGGTTTGAGATCAGTTCGCTGACACAGCAAATGGGCCAGCTGGTGCAGCTGGTCGGAGGACTTGCTACACGTATAGAGGAGAAGTCCGGCGGTGCCACGGAGGGCGCCGCTGAAAGCGGCGGCGCCGTGGAGAGCGTCACCACAAGCACTGCAGGTCATTTTGGGACCGTGCAGTACGACGGGAGCGCGCAGGCAGCGGACCTGCGAAGAGAGTCTGGTCCTTCGGGACGACACAGCGGCGAAGTAGGGGGTTCAGACCCCCAAGAGGTGAGAGTAGCCGCTGCTCACAATCAAGCTTGTTTCAGCAGCGCCATGGGAAGTGGTGCTGCTGTCTTCGGTAGTGCGAGCGTGGGATACCAAAGCGTGAAGTACACAGCGCCCACGTTCAGCGGAGACGCCAAGAGCTTTTCTTCGTGGCTAGAGAATGTTTTGATGGCAGCGAACACACAAACCTTCTTGAGCTTTTCGAGGAGGGGGGGGCGGAGATCCCCGTAAACAGTGGGCAGAGCAAAGTCCAACTGTCCAGGTTTTACCCGCACGACAAAGTAGAGCTCGCTTTCCACGCGTGGAATTTCCTCCGTGGAGCTCTCAAGGACGAGAAAGACAGGACAATAATGAAGCGAGCTGAGTCGCCCCTGGGGGCGCTCCGTGAGCTGAAGGGGTTGTACGACCCAGAATCGTCCATGCAGCCTGCGGATGAGTTAAAATCCCTGACATCCAAGAAGATCCCGATGGCAGAGAATCCGCAACATGCTCTCAACAGTATGCTCGCCACCGCAGAGTCCCTTTCGAAACGGGGGCTTGATGTTAACGAAACCTTCGTTTTGCACCTCTTCTTGGATGCCCTCTCCAACGAGTACGCTGCTGATACAGCAGCCACGTGCTCCATGTTCCGATGCGCAAACGCGTTCGCGAACTGCCGCGAGTGTAGTGGTTGGGTCAAGGGGATCGGAGGCAACAAGGCCCCCGTTCCTCTCCTAGGGTACGGAGACGTGACCGTAGTCTTTCTGACCGAAGGCGGTAGGGTACCAGTGCTAATCCTGAACGCCGCTCATTAGCATCCTTTGATTCAACGCGGGCTGCCCACGGTTTATTGGACACTAACATAACCCTCTCAAAGTATTTTTCAGCCCTTTCCATGCCTCTCAAGGTTAATCGTCGTTGAAGTACATTGTCCATGTTTTGTTCGTGTTGCTTTTTTGGTTCGGTGTGCGAAGACCCCACGCAAAGTGACTCTTTTTTCCCCCTGTTGTTGTGGTGGCCGAATCTCATGGCAGGCAGCGATCCACATAATTGTGGTCCAGCTGCTTCCTAAGCTGGCGAGCCGCAAGTCGGCGACCATTGAAAAGGGATATTTTTAAGGAGGGTGGCGCGAGAATGTACACCGGCATCCAGACCGTATTGCAGGACATGTGAGCGACGAGTGGAGGTATCGTTGCTACTGCAGTACCCGCTGTTGCCTTGTGTTTTTTGGATGGAAGAAGTTAGTCTGTTGGGGGTCTGTTCAACTGTGCTGGTGACATGAACCGTTTGGGTGATGAGGTCATTGTGTCCTTGGTAGCGAGTGCAGATATGGTCTTACACAGCCGCATGTTTCTATTGTTCTTGTTCGGGGGCGCGCCCTGTGTTGCTTGTTGCTAATTCTAGCACCCTAGGGACATACATGATGTGGCAATTCACCAAGGAACGCCTGGCTTCGTCGAGTGCCTATCGGCGGAAAGGCGACTTTTGGGACAGGACTTGCTTCACGAGTCCTTCCTCGCGCAGGTGACAGAATGGGTGTTTGCAGGTTGTACTTCATTTTACCTGGCAGATTTCCCCTGAACACTACCAACCGAGGGCTAAAAGGTGCCATGGGCAACTTTGATTTCTTCCCACGCCTAGGCCAGGAGTCATCCCGCTGCATCTATTGTTTCCCGATTTCCGATCCATCGCTTTTCCCGCAACGCTAAAAGACGCAATTGTGGGAAAGCGTAGGGAAGGGGGTGCTTATTCCGATTGAAATTTTCGCCGGAAGTGGAGGCTACTCATGCTTCTACTGTGTGACCTAGTTCCGTGAAGCGAACAGATAACCAACTATGCTGTTGATAGAACCAGCGGGAAGTAACTAATGAATGCCTCAGCATCTACCAGAAAATAATATTGTCGTTTCAACACTACCCTCTCAGATACCCCGCCCATTCGGCCGAAAAAGTGGCAAACACGTTGAAATCTCCCCCCGGTGTTCTTGATCCGCAAAATTGAGAAACCACCCCACCACCCTCGGGGTAGTCGTTGTCAGGATCAAAGATTGCCAAGCCCCCCGGGACGAACGAAAAATAGCTACAGCCGCATGCCTTTCGGCAATCTACAGCTTGCCTCACCTCCGTCGGAGTGTAGAAATGATATTTCGCATCCTGGACGTACGTCGGAAGATACACAACCAACGGAATACGCATGCTTCTTTGGCTCATCACCCCATCGGCCTACCCGTGACTTTCCCTTCCCTTCGTTACGTTCGGCCATAATTTCTGTGCAACATGCTGCACGCCAGGTCATGGCGCCCTCGTCGCCATGCCTCCGCCATCCTCACAGAGTATGGGAACCCCGAGATCATGCGCTTCCTCTCCCCATCTGCGGACGGGAAGGGGAACCCTGACATCATGCGCTTCCTCTCCCCATTTGCGGACGGGAAGGGCAACCTCATCGTGAAGAGACCCTCCTCGAAGACGTGCACTTCGACGTTGCCGACATCGGGCCTATTCGTCGACGACATGAAGTGATGGCTGAGTGTGCACTCATTTCTTCTTACGGAAGTTGAGCTTCCGCGGGGTCGCGAAGCTGGTGGGAATAATCTCGGGTGTGGCGCTTTGTGTGGCGGTTGACTATGTCCCAGCCGTAGATTGCCTATGGTCAGGGTATTCGTCAGGTTGCAGCCCAATATCGCGATGTGGTGGTTTACTTCTGCTATTATGACCAACCGGTAGGCACGTGCGTAAGTTGGAACGGATATAGCTGATATTTCGTCCGGCAGGGGGGGAGGGCGCAACCAAGCATTGCGTGTGGACGGGAAAGAACATCATACGGTACACGGTATTTTTTTGCCATTCGTGGAGCACACGTATTGCAATGATTGCCGGCTTGAGCGGGATGGAGAGGATTGGATCTGCAAGGAAGACTTTCTTTGTCTGTGATGTGCATCGTGTGTCCTGGCCTTTTGTTATTTTATCCTATGCTGAAATGTCGGGTACTGTTCCAGCAAAAGCAAGACGTATCGGTAGTCAGTCGTGGATCAAAGCGGGTACAGAACGCGCCACCACTAAGCCTCAGTGCAGGGAAATTGAACCACAGACAGGTTGGCTGCTGGGACCCATGCATTCGTTGCTGTCGCTGTGGTCTACGGGTATTCCAACATCGTAGGCGGTATTGGGTATATAAGAAGACAACGGACAGACCCCGACCAGAGGCGATCTGTCCAAGAGGGAGGATCTGGGAAGGAAGTGGTAGTAGTTGGTTATCACTAGTCTACATACAGTTTAGCCTAGTGGCAGTTAGGCTACCAAAAGGACGTAAGCTCCGGCCGAGACTGCCGGGACTCGCCAATATGGCCACGCGCCGCTGAGTTTTTCGAGGTCGGACCTGAAATTCTGGACACGTGGTTAAGAACGTTCTCACCAAGACGCCACCGGATGAACCCAAACAAGTTTGGTTTTTGTCGGGAGATGATGGCCCACTTTCCGTTTTCCAGCAACACAAAGACGGGCACATCTCGACAAAAAAAGAAACAAAATTCTTGGGTCCATCCGGTGGTGTCTTGGTGAGAACGTTACAAATCACCCGTCAAATTTTCGGGTCCAAACTAAAAAACCCAATGGCGCATCTTGATATTCGTGCCAAGATCGCTTTACAGCCAAAGTTACATAAAATGCAGAAATTCAGGCATAAATTTTGAACCACACTGAACTACGCCGTGATACGGTCGTCATTCGTCGTCTGACATCGGTGGATACAAGCACACAAAATGTGAGCGAAATCGGTGGACATTATTGGGAACCCATGTAGGCCGTCCCATGAGACAGCCCTGGGACGTCCCACGTGTCCCATGGTGTCCCATGGGACGTCCTTAGCTGTCCCACGGATTCCCATGGCACGCGTGGGGTGTCCCATTGGACCCGTGGGACGCCCCATGGGACACCATGGGACACGTGGGGCGTCCCATATGTCCGATGGGACACATGGGACGTCCTAGGGCTGTCCATGGGGCGTCCTAGGCGTGGGACGTGTGGGACGTCCCATGGGACATGCCGTGCGGCGTCCCATGGGAGACGCCATGGGGCGTCCCACGTGTCCCACGGGACAGCTCTGGGACGTCCCTAGCTGTCCCATGGTGTCCCACGGAACACGTGGGACGTTCCATGGGACGTCCAGTAGTACACAATGTCCCGCGCGTCAGGTGACGTAATAAATGGAAACGAGACATGCACAAGACGCACTTCCCCTTCGTTGCGTCTACAGAAATAGGACGACGGTGTAATGGAGCAACTGAAGTGTCTGAGGGTGGTACAGTATGCATATGAGCATTACATGAGCGTTACATGAGCGTTACATGAGCGTTACATGAGCGTTGTATGAGCGCCTCTTGGATATTTTGATTTTTTGTTGGATATGGATATTTGGCGTCGTTGAGGGGTATTGCAGTAGCTTTAAGGGAATCAAAGTCCCAGCCCCGCTTCCTCACTCTCCGAATTGGCTCTGAGCAGACCTGGTCTAAGAAGGCAAAAACAAGAGATCGAACAACAACTGCGAGTACCCGAAGCTGGGAGCAACGGACTTGCTCCCTTCACTTTGTTTCTCTGTCCCTCCATTGTAACATTGTGGCGTCGTCGGCAGTCCTGCTGCATGCTGATGCCCCTGCTGCTGCCACGGCAGCTCCTACTACAGCTGTCCCTGCTGCTTCTGCGGTTGCGGCTCCCGCTGCAGCGGCCCCGGCTGCCCCAGCTGCAATAGAGGAAGCCTAGGAGGCACCGCAGGAACTACTCACTGTCGTCCAGCTCGTCTCCCTCTAGATATATTGGTCTTACTCGTCCTCCTCCTCATCGTCGTATTCCGACTCAGTCAGGTGGTTATCGTGTCAATCATCAAGACGATAGGCTCTTAGGTTTTGACTTCGACGCTCTTATCAAGTTCGTCGACGCCGGTAAGTTTCAGTCGATATCATCCAAGAGTGTCTGCCTCCAGTTGGCCATCGACGTCTCCTCCGTTCTCAAGCCGGCGCAGAAACAACACGTAGGGAGACTGCTTTCGACCGACACTCTGCCATCCGAGCTGCGTAGGCTGTTTGGACGGCTTATGGTCGCTCTGCGTGATATGCAGGAGGTGGACAAGTTCAAGCATGTAGACATTGCTGGACGCTCGGGGTTTGGTTCGGTAGGTTGCCGCTTTCAGGCGAGGGCTTTCCAACCTTCGGACGCTTCTCGTGGGGCTCCACTTTAGGCGTCCACCGGGTGCCGCCATTCCTCTCGCGCCCACGACCGTTCGCAGACACAGAACTACCACTTGCAGGATGCTGGCCGTTAGACGGGATACGACTCTTGCGGTCGCACGGGCTGTCACAGGGATGCCGGCGAGGGCAAGGCTTGTACAGTAGTATCGTTTAATAGGGCATAACATGCCCTGTTTTTAGCGCAGCCGTGGGCTGTACATAGATGCGCTTGGAAACCCATATCCGTTCAGCAGGCGTTCATGGGTCCTGGAAGCCAGCAGTGGCCAATGACGCTGCCGCAGGCCCCGATCACCGTCACTTCCGCTCACATGCCTCATGCCGCCATGCCACCGCCTAGTACTTTGCTGCCTCACACGCTGCGACGTCGGTCGAAGAGACCCAACCTGTCACTGACCACCCCGAGCCTGACTTAGAACGTGCACGACAGCTATTGGATCGCAATGTCTCTGTCGAGTTTCCCCCAGCAGTGACACCTGCCGGCGACGGCGTCGCCGTCGGTAGCGGCCGTCGACGTGCCGTCATCGAGACTGCCATTGCCGGTATAGCCGATTTCGGTGCCGTCGCCACCGGTGCCGCCACCGCCGGTGCCGCCGCCGCCGGTGCCGCCGCTGGTGTCGCCACAGTCGGTGCCGTTCGTAAAGACAGAGCCACCGTCATTAGTCGCGCTTTGCCAACGCACACACCATTTTCCGTCGTGAAACCGGAGGCACCGCCCCCTGCTTCCGTTGTGAAAACGGGGACGGCGTCGGTTTCCGGGGTGGTACCGACGCCCTCACAACCTGTTTTGCCACAGGAACTACAGGTCTCGTCTATCGCGGTGTCGGTAGCGAGGCCGCCGTTGACGGCCATTCAGCCAGTCGCAAGAGATTTCGCTGATGACCGGGCCTTGCTCTGTCGTCTGCCGGTGCACGCACAGCACAGGCACAGCTGGACGCGACCGCCGTTGCCGCCGCAGAGGCGTACGCTCTCAGCGTGCGCAAAGGATAGAGCAAGCTTAAAGTATGCGGTTGTTTTGCTTCGCCCGGCATAATTTTCTGCTTTCGTTCGTTTGGCCGAAAGTGTGCTGGCTGAAATTCTGTCAGCCGTTGATCCCTCCGGCAAGTAGACCAGGAAGTCGCCCACATGGGTGGCCGGATGGTATGCCCCTTTCCAGAAGCGTGTCCTCATGGCCATTTCGAACCCGCAAGGCGCCCATGCCGCAACCCGCAAATTGGTGGATTATTCGTTTTCTGGACAAGTCGGGGCCCTCGGCAAACCGTAGGCTGCTCAAGCTGCTCGCGGATGAGTGGCAACCGAAAGGTTTCAACCGGGGCATAGACAAGCACTACTAGATCGGGAGGTGGAATAGTTTTTTGTGGTGGTTGCGCAAGAGTACCTGCAGTAGGCTCGTGCGTCCGTTGATTGGCTGGCTCGTGTGATTTTCTCGTCGTACAGAAGAACGGGGGGCGGTCCATCATCACCATCACCAGCTAGAGAGGGGGGAGGTATCCATCATCATTCGCTAGAGGGGGGGGTGGTGTCCATCATCAGCTAGCGAGGGGGGTGGTAT